GGGGGGGGAGAGAGAGAGAGAGAGAGAGAGAGAGAGAGAGAGAGAGAGAGAGAGAAAGAAAGAGAGAGGAAAGAGAGAGAGGAAGAGAGAGAGAGAGAGAGAGAGGACAGAAAGAGAGAAAGAGAGAGAGAGGACAAAAAGAGAGAAAGGGAGAGAGAGAGAGAGAGAGAGAGAGAGAGAGAGAGAGAGAGAGAGAGAGAGACTCTAGTTGAACTGCGAGTCAATTCGCAGCTATCGAGGTCGATGTCAGATCGTGATCTGTTTGGTGACTGACCACCTTTAAGAAGTGGTAGACCACCTTTAAGAAGTGGTAGACCACCTTCAAGAAGTGTCAACCTTCACGAAGTGTCAAACAGTCGACGGTTAGAGGACTCAAGTGCCAAAAGCATTCTTAGGGGACCTTGTGGTCGTGTTCAGAACATATTGCCGTAGCACTAGATGCTCACCAAGTAGTTCTGGATGTCGGTTATATTGATACATCATAAGATGCCTTACAAGCGAGCAGCGGCTGCTTGCAGGACCTTCTACCCGGTATGGATCTTTGAGAGGAGAGTTTCACACTCCACCGTGAGATCCACATCGGGTAGGCGGACCTGCCACTCTACCGCTGTTGGCTGTAGTCATCTTGAGAGTCGATGTGGTAAGGACCCGGCAAAGAACACTCTTAGGGGACTTTGCTGCTGTGTTTGGAACTTATTGGCGTAACACTAGATGCTCACCAAGCAGTTCTGGATGTTGGTTATATCGACACATCACAAGATGCCTTACAAGCAAGCAGCGGCTTCTTGCAGGACCTTCTACCCGGTGTGGATCTTTGAGAGCAGAGTTTCGCACTCCACCGTGAGATCCACATCGGATAGGCGGACCAACCATCTACCATTGTTGGCTATAGTCATCTTGATAGTCGATTAGGTGAGGACCCGACGATGTTCCAATTGGGACGTGCTCTTGTTTCGTGATGTGCAGGTGCTTACAGGCGGTGCGTTCAATCCCCTCCTCGATGTGAAGCAAAGTGCGAGGGAAATGCTCAGGACTCACACTAAAAGTGGGATTGAACTCGCACTTTGATGAAGAAGCAGTTGCACAGTCCATCAGCGTGACGGTTTAATATGGACATTGGCTTGTAATTTCTATATCACTGGTTGAAAACGCCATAAATCTTTCTGTGTAGAAGATTCATATCCATTCATACAAGTATCTCTTGTCATCGCAAACATCGAGATGAAAACATTTCAAGGCAAATTGCAAAGCACACAGAGACATCGCGAACATCGAGGTGAAAACATCTCAAGTTGCGCACTGTTTTTCCAAAGGTGAAGTCTCAGAGCAGACGATCAGTTTCAATAAACCATTCTGTGCAGAAAATTCATTCAAGGGCAAATTGCAAAGCACAGAGACTTTCCAAATTGAACGCAAAATATCATACAAAGTCATATTGCAAAGTGCATGGAGGCTTTCCAAAAATCACAAAGTACATGGAGCCAAAATGCGAATATGTTCTCATTTCCCATATGGAACCAACAGTTCAATCACAAATGCACGACATCCAAAGTGCGAATATGTTCGCATTTCTCATACGGAAACAACAACCAGCATCAAGTGGAGAGCACGAGATGTATTCCGGGGATAACAAAATTGGCAATCATTTAGTGCACCGCTGAATTCGTTAAACAACTTCAAGCACAAGTCAAATTGCAAAGCACACAGAGACATCGCAAACATCGAGGTGAAAACATCTCAAGTTGCCTAGTGTTTTTCCAAAGGTGAAGTCTCACAGCACACAAACAGGTACCAGAAACCATTCAATGTAGAAAATTCATTCGAGGGCAAATTGCAAAGCACACAGAGACGTTTCAAAAAGTCATTGAACGAGAAATATCATACAATCCCACAGTGCAAAGTGCACGGAGGCTTTCCAAATATCACAAAGCACATGGAACCAAAGTGCGAATATGTTCTCATTTCTCACATCAAACCAACAGTTCAATCGCAAATGTACGGCATCCGAAGTGCAAATATGTTCGCATTTCTCATACGGAAACAACAACCAGCATTCCGTGGAGAGCACGAGATGTATTCCGAGGAAAACAAAATTGGTGATCACTCAGTGCACCGCTGAATCCGTAAAACAACTTCAAGCACACATACATTCTGACGACAATCGGTTTCCAAATGGATAACAAGTTCGTAACTGTCATAAGGAACCAACAGACAGCATTTAATTGAGACAAGCAGAGGGGGTGAACCGTAAAACGAGCCGGCACACGCAGAACAAGGGCGAGCCAAAACATATGAAAGATGGGAGGTCGGGGCATGACAGGGGAGAGGGGCTTTCACACCACAAAGTCTCGCGAACGAAAGAGATAAGCACGAAACAATTTGGCGACCAAGAATAAATCGTCGATATCTTTCACATGAGCAAGAGAGGAGCACAACCTCGAAATGAACAAACACAGCACGGTGCTGCCGCGGTCTGAGAAGACATAAGGAGAACAACCCGAAAATAAACCAAAGGAGCACAAAGTTGGGATATTCACATCCGATATGTAAGCGTCTTCTTAAAAGGAAGTGCACGACGTGGCTGGAATATTTACATCGGCATCTAAGCTTCTACTTCACGTAAGCGTCCGCTGCTACTCACTAGTGGATATTGCGCGGCAAGCAATGAGAACAACCCTAAAACAAACAAAGGCAGCAAGGCGCTGTCGAAAGTCCTACGAGTAAAGATGACAGACGACGAAATGAAAAACCCTTTAAAAAATTGGTACAGCATGAGGCTGGGATATTCACATCGAGACCTAAGAACGTCCTCTGCAATCTGGCACCTCATCAAAACAACACCACAGCTCGAATCGGCTGACTGCCAGATCAAGTGGGAATAGATTCGCACTTCTGCTTATGGCCTTTGGAAAAAAAAACTATGCGTATTTTAACAACAGGGGTATTATTCAGAGCCTTGGAGTATGTCCACCGCAATCCTCAGGCCTGATGTTTGCAATATCGCTTTCGGCTATCGGAAATGGTGGCGGGTAGCCGCAAGAAAAGAAGCGAAGGCGAGCATGAAAACACCGCAGCTCGACCCGTCCGACTGTTGAAGGACACCATGAGCAACCACCTTGGGCGCCGGGAGTTCCAGTTCGGCTTATTGACCAAATCGACGAGTCGCTTTGTTGCGGAGGTATTGCATGAAGTTCGCAAGCACATTGGAAGAAAAACCGCCATCGTCTTGCAGGAGGAAGTCGTAGTACTCCAACCCTTGTTCTCGGACACATAATAAGGTCCAATGCACTCGATTTTTATGGACTGGAATCAAGACCATGCTGTACGAGAAAATATCCACATCTTTTGTCCATTTTGCGACCCTTTCATGTCGATAGCCGCCACCGATGAGCTTGGTATAGAAAAAGGGATTGAAAATGTAAAGAGAGGGACCCCCAGGGAACGCAGCGTTGGCTAGCAAGACCAGGTACGACTCCACCACCTCGTCGGAAAGCCATCCCCCTTGGATAAGAGTTTAAAGACTTTTTCTGGTCAACGGAATCGAACTGGGACCTCTGCGAACCAAGGAAACCACCTCGTGGCCGTTGCTGAAATCTCCGCAGACGTCCTGCAACATTCTGAAGTCCGCAGCCCTAAGCTCCTCAATAGGCAAGGGAACGCGAAAACATGATGTAGCCCCTGCTGCACAAACACCCACGAACAAGTGTGAGGAGTGAGCACAAACCCCGGGGCGGAATGGCTAAGAACTGTTTGCCCTTTTCCCATAAAAGTTGTATCCCCGACTGTTGAATGTGTCCTTCGCGATGTACTTAGAAGACAGGTCTTTCAAGACACCCCGTTCGCCATCGTCATCAGACCGATCAGACAAAGCAGTAACGTTCTCAATAGACGCAGTCAAATGTTTCCGCAGACCTTCCTCCTTATCTATTCCACAAGCCTTCAGAACCCTGACAGCTCTCTGGGAAAGGCGAGGCATCTGGACCCTTTTAAACAACCCTACACTTGACGACTTCTTCGGTAAATCGGCGAATGACCTCCCTGAAAGACGTTTCTCGTGCACGGCTTTTAAAGGCTTCATGGGCAGGGACATTAACAACCTCACACCTGTAGAACATAGAAAACAACCCACAGCCCAGAAGCTGTTTTTTAACCAATGGTAATAGGTACATTAGCCCATGACATCAATTTGGACGAACACAGAGTTGGCTATTGACAGATATGCGAGTGGTCCTATTCACAAATCTTACCGTGCTCAGGAGCCCTTTGAGGGAACTCGCCCTCCTGTCGCGCCACTGCGCCAACGTCCACGGACGATTCGAGGTTCTGGACCTCGGTCACGGCTGTGTCGCTAACCAGCTCGGTGGCAGCTGAGTCGCTTGGCAAGTCGATGGGTTCATGAAGCACCATTTCCCGATCGGTACTGAGGACAGATCCTCGATCACCCTGTTCTGCACCGCAACGGGTGGACGGAGAATCATGATCTTTCCGCTCTGGATCCATCTTGATGCTGACAGCCACCTCACCACCTTCCACAGAGGATTCGACGTTCTGCATCTCGGCCACGCCTGAGTCGCTATCCAGCTCGGTGGCTGCCGAGTCGTCACCCGACTCTATGGCTTCATGAAGCACCATTCCCCGAGCGGTGCTAAGGACAGACGCTTGACCACCCTCTTCTTCACCGCAACGGGTGGGCGAAGAATCACCATCTTTCCGCTGTGGATCCGTCCGGATGTCGACAGTCACCTCACCGCCTTCCACCACGGGTTCTCCGCCTTTCTCATCGCCATGAACCCGAGCTTCCACCGCGGGTTCTTCTTCGTCGTCATCGTCGCCAAGAACGGGAGCTTGCACGGACGTCCACTGACCTCCCTTAACGACACCCTCTCGCGTCGTGGCCACAGCCGAGCGACTGTGCAAAACCTCTTCGGAAGTCCCGATCACCAGCGCTCTTGCGTGTAGCCACTTCACGTCTTCACGAGTTGGCCCGTGTCTCCTCTCCTCTCCCTGCTGTACAGCATGCGTTTCCCCCGTTGCTCCTGCACTCTCGCTGTCAGTGTCCACGGATGCACCTTCCGAAGCATGACGTTCACACTCGCTACCCCCGGTCTCCAACACTTTGCGAGACTGCCAGCGTTGAGTCTCCTCTTCCCGATGTACAGCACGCGTTCCCGGAGAGCGCTCGTCTTCCCCAGGAGTGTGACGTTCGTTCTCGCTACCCCCGGTCTCCAACACTCCTAGAGCGGCCCCCTCCAGCACGTCGCGAGACCGCCAGTCTCGAGTCTCAACACATGAGAAAGGAGGCGAGCAGGGTAAACTTGTGTCCAACTGAAGATGCGGGGGCCAGGACGTCACATTTTCTTGGCCCCGCGGAACTGTTGCGTGAGGAGCACTTACGGCGGAGGGCGACATAAGCAAATCCGAATGTATTCGGAGTTTGTGGCGGTCCCCCGAGCCGAGGGAACCGGAGGTTCCACCTTCGCTCCTTCGCAATGCAGGCATCCCGCCCTCCAGGCAAAACGAAGACGCACCCTCTTTCAGGAGCAAGGTGTTGAGCACAGGAGACCTCTGCTGCGCACGGTGGGATGGACTCTCCTGGGCAACGAGAAACAAACTCCTCGCAGACAAGTGCGAATCTACTCGCACTTGATCAGACGTCAGGGTGGCCTCGTCTCGCATGTCGGAACCTCGACTCCCTACGCAGTGGGGGTCAGTTTCCATACACAGGGAACTCCCGGACGTTCTACTCTTTCCGCCTGACCCCTTCCTGCCCAACCCCTTCCCGCCCGACCCCTTCCCGCCCGACCCCTTTTCGCCTGACCCCTTTCCGCCGAACGCCTTCTCAACCAACGATGTCTTGCCCGTCCCCTTTCCGGCAAACTGTGAGCCGTCTCCTCCGCCACCTCCTTCGTCTCCTTCGTCTCCTCCACCACCCCCTCCCGGATGCTGCCTTGCCGGTGGAGGTTGCGGCATGCGCCAGTCAATGCCACGAGACGGTGCCGTTTCGAGTCCGTAGAAAGGCGCTCGAAACTCCAACATGTTGTTGGTGTACAACTCATGTAGCTTTTGTTTTGCATACGGATCGACGTCCTGATCGTTCCTCTCGGGGTTCATGAGACTCAAATGCTCCACCAGAGCAGTTCTTGCTTTTCTCTTAAATGCACCCGCTCCCAGTCTCTTCAGTCCACTCCACTTGCCATCGGCCTCCTTTATTGCCATGACCCACATTCCATTCCTCACAGCAGGTTGGAATATCCTCGGGTGCCAGACGACGTTGTGTCCCCAGACATCCGCCGACGTGAACCGGTGATGCTTGCCGAAGAAGTAGAGTCTGTCATTCTGTCAGGTGTCATGGTCCACAGGGAGCCTGTCACAAGGTTCGTGATCATAGTCTCTCCCTTCCTCCCCGTCATCAGACGATTGGTCCTCGACTGGTTCGTCCCGAAACACACGCTTCAAACCGGCAGGGGACGTGCTATATCTCCGAGGTCCACCTTCCTCTTCATCACCAACCTGTCCAGCCACCTGAGGAAGGGGCATGGACTCGAAATCGAAGGTTTCGGAGTCGCTCAGCTCCTCCATGTCTTCAGCGTCGAAAGGGTCCTCCTCATCAAACTGTGACTTGTAGATTTCGAGAGAGCCGTTCGGCCAGCGTGAAGTAAACATGTTCCAGCCTTCCCAAGAACTGCGAGACAGACTCCCTGGGTGCAACGTGGTACCCATTGAGCACAGCGAACACCAGGTTTCTCTGTCGACTATATTCGAGGTCGGTCGGACCAGGCGGTTCGGGTCCGAAAAGGAAGTCCCAAACGTCCGTCCTTTTGTTCCCCGACAATTTCCAATACATGTCACGTTTGGGATCCCAGTTTTGTTTGCCGGTGGTGCGGACGTACTCGCAAGCATTGCGAGTGTCTGCAACGCGTGTTTTCACAAGCTCGTGAAGGTAGTCGATCATCCTCGCCTCCTTCTCCAACGCGACGACGTTCCGACCGGTGCGAAGGAGTCCCCACACGACAAACGCATGCGCCTTCCCAAAGAAAAAAACAATTTGCCCAGCTTTGCAAAAGTTTTCGAGTAGACCAAGTAGACGGGATGGGTTCCGCTCCATCTCCCCGTAAACAGGTCCTTGAGAACTTGTCACGCCGCCGTCCTCCCACATGCTACGAGAGAACCTTTCCTCTTTCGCCACGTTGAAACACGCCACAGCTTGTCCTGATGGGTCCGACGAACACATAGGTTTCGAGCGGGCCGCCACCGTGTCTTTGGCCGGACTAGGACCTTGGGAACGAGAAGCCTTTGTCGGGCTACTGGCCGGGTAGACTGCGTATGTGTTGTCTTCCATCTTCTCGCCATTAAATATCACGTACAGGCAGTCATACTCCTCAACCAGCATATTGCCTTCCCAGACGGTGGCCTGCTTTTGTGCATTACGTACCCACTTCTGTGTGCTGACGTGATGGATGCTAAGCCTGACCATGCCTTTCAAGAAACTGAGCTCCCAACGAGAGGGGAAAAAGATGACAAGTGCCCAGTGCGTTGGCGAAAGTGTTTGTAGAAGGCCTTGCAAGTTGGCGAGATTGTCTTCTCGCCAGTTTATGAGGAGTGTGGGATCACACAAATCGAGGACGTACAGGTTGCACACGTAATGTCGCACAACCTCACGGATCGCAGTGACATGACTGTGAGCTTGGGAAGGCGGGAAAGCGAAAGGAATAAGGCTGGTCACCCGGTTGAGTTCGGGCCATTTGATGTGTCTCACATCCCCGCTTACCCTGATCGTGTCTCGAACTTCTTCTTCCGTCCGTCGCAAGATGGAACAGACAGACTTTTCGAAAGATTTAGGGAACCTGTCATCATCATACAATCTCTTCGCGTCGTCGATGGACTCCTTCTCGTGCGGAAGAGTACGTTTGCAAGTGTTCACGTACTCCACCGCGCCCTGGAAATGCTTTCGCATTTCGACCCACACCTGTTTCGTGAGTCCCTGTGGCCCGAACTGCTCCAGAAGCTTCCCCTCGGTCCGAAAAAAGGGGCTCCCGTGGCGCCAAACACGTTCGTCCTCCTCCGTTTCAAGGGACAAGATGTAGTGGAACATACAGAGCATCACACGGTCAACTTTCCTCGTCGCGACCATTTCTTTAATTCCAGGTTTATGCTGACGCTTCAGATGGCCACCTGCGGATTGCATGAACACTCCCCTTAGTGCGAGAATGTCGTCAAGCACCAATAGTTTCTCGACATCGGTCATGTCGGCGAGACACTGCCAACAATACATGTCTGGCTCTTTCACGACCACGAAAAACTTGTCATCCGCTTGCGTTTTCTTTTTAGTCGGAGGCGGCGGGACCCGGACCAGCCACCCCATTTTCGTTTCACCAGCCGCCCCTTTCGAGCCCGTTTCCGAAATTGCTTGCAGACCCGGACATTTGTCTAGCATGTATTTGCCCGGCCTCGACAATGGCGTCTTACCGTCGCCGCCCAACAACTTCCCCTCCGCCCATTTCGCGTAGAACTCCATGGCTTTGCGGAAAACGTCATCACCGGCCGTCACGAACGGCATCCACTGCCTCAATGCATTGCCAACGGCAATGACATACTCCTTGTCGGCGAGCGATTTATCTTGTTTTGACAACGACCAGTGAGACTCGTTCGGACTCTTTCCCAAAATCAGCTTTTGGAAATCGAAAAACTTTTGTTTCTCGGTCTCCTTGCCGGAAGGGTTCCCTTGAATGGCCATCGGCCTTCCTTCGTTCTCCCATGCCTCCCGCATGTCCAAGAACGCGGCCTTCTGCGATCGCTGCTTAGACATCTTTTGTCTCGTGTTTTCGTTGAGACTGACCTGCCTATACCCTGCGAAATCTCGGTCGGAGAACCACACTACTCTCGCCGACCACAAGTGCATCTTCCACAAATCGAATATTGGCTCACTCTCCAACTCCTTCACAGCAGCCACGGTGTGTTGACCGTTAACAGGGTAATAGTAGTACTTGTCCTTGTCCTCTGGCTTGAAGACATCTTTGTGAACCCTTTCAACTTTCTCCGGCCTACGCGCCACCAGCTTGTAGATGGGTGCCATAACCAAAGGGTTTTTTGTCCAGATTTTCTCCCTTTTCTCGCGGTATTGACTCTGCATCGCATCCTTGATGTCGTCCACAGTTTCTCGACTTAGACTGCGGTGGTTGTAATATCTTTCCCAAGGCGGGATGTCGCAGACCTTCCTGGGGTCGATGAGCAGTTGGACAGGGTGTTCTTTCTCCACGATTATACCGACATCGTTACGCTCGTATTCGAGCTAGAACGCTGCCACTTCGTCGCACTCGTCACTGATAGGCCCTTCGCCCCCGCTCGCCGCCTCAGCGGTCTTCCGCCTTCGAGGTTTCTTCTGGTCATCGCCTCCTTCAGCTGCCACTTTCCGTTTCGATTTCCCCGAAGCTTCTCTCGCGGCAGTAGCGCCTGGATCAGCCGAATCTCCTCCACCCGCAGCTTTTCCTTCGCGGATGGTCAAACCGTCGGGCCTCCTCGCTTTCTTACTTGTCGTCCTACCCTCTTCCTTCGTCAGACTCTTTCCCGAGGCACGATCTCCGTCGCCACCTCCATCCCCGCCCGTAACCGCCTCCGGTTTTCCTCTCATCCTCTTCATGCGGAGGGTTCCTTTCGCCACCTCCTCTCGCACCATCCTCTGTCGCTCGCTCTTCTTCTCCCAAGGAGTCTGCTCCCCGCCAGAGCTTTCGCGGACAGCGCCCATCCCTTCAGCCTCATTCCCTCCAACATCTAGCCCTGATCTGCTTGAATCTCTTCTCGTCTCATCTCGAGGAGAATACGTGTCGGCCCCGCAGCGGACCTTGACAATTTTCGGAGTACCGACCCGTTGAGTCCCTGTACCCTGAGAGTGCAAGTCCGACGTGTTCGTAGGACCATCCGGGCCGACCTGCGTGTGAACGCTGCGTCCCTTGACCCGACCCCCAGCGTCTTGAATCGGACTCCCGCGCCCCACTATCATACCTGGAGTTTCTTGAGCCAAGCCGGAGGACCCCTCACGGGGTGGCAGAACCTGGAAAACATGCTCTGGCGGAAGAACCGGACGTTCTTTCGGCACCATCAGCGCGAGATCGAGAAATTGCTCTGGCGATGGAAGACGCTTGCTGCCGCCAATAGTAAAGGCCTTTGAAGTGAGAGCACAACAGCATGTTCGAGCGGTACCCCGCGAAACACTTGATGGTCACCAGCAAACCTTTAACACCTCTGATAGGCTGTCTGCACTCGTCGTACATGCCGTTAGTGTGCAGCTTGAGCAAACCTCCAGGAGTCTTCGCGTACGAGACTACGGTACCGAGAGGAACAACGTTGACCTCTCCCCCAGTGGGTCGCATGAAAACAACTGGCCCAAAAAGGTCTCTGAACAACGAAGTCAAAAAACCATTGTGCTCCTTTTGCGTGCATATACTGAAGAGTAGGTTGTTGTACAGGTCGTCCCTCCCTGGGGGCAGATGGTCCAGCGCTTGTGGATGTGTTCTTTGCGGACGCCATTGTATTCCCACCCGTTGACTAGCACGCCCAACCTCAGACCAACTCGGATGACTAATACGCCCAACCCCAGACCACTACAGAAGCTAAGTGCGAACTAACTCGGACTTAACGAAATGGGGGACGAAAAGGACGTAAGAGATGGGTGTTCGAAATGCACATGAAGTCACAACAATCCGGTGAAGGATAGGAAAGACAAGAGTCCGGAGGGAAGACGATAATTGTTCGGAAAGATTGCGACCCAACTAGATGCCCTCGAATCGAGTAAGATGTGGTTTATCGACAAGTGCGAAGGGTGTCAACAAGTGCGAACTAACTCGCCGTTCTGTGAACAAGACAACAATGGCAACCCGCTGCACTAGGGGGAAGTGCGAACTAACTCGGAATTGTGGAACTGAAGACCTGAAAGACGCACGAAATGAGTAAGATGTGGTTTATCGACAAGTGCAAATCGACAAGTGAGAACTAACTCGCAGTTCTGCTCACAGGACGACAATTGCAACCCGAAGTACAACGGGAAAGTACGAACTGACCACGAATTGTGGAACTGAAGTCCTGGTTTATCGACAATTACGACGTGTTTCGACAAGTGCGAACTAACTCGCAATTCTGTAGACAAGACAATAGTGGCGATGCGCAGCAGTAGGAAAAAATACGAACTAACTCGGAATTGTGGAACTGAAGACCTTAAAGCTGCACGGGCTGGGTTGTCAACACTCCAGAAGTGTTGCTCAAAAACTGCGAACTAACTCGCATTTGTGGAAATAAAGAACTGCCTTTAATGAAATATGTGTCTAACCTTGGGAAAACTGCGAATAAACTCGCAATTGTCACTCCTCGAATACTGTACGTAGCAAAATGCGAACTAACTCGCAATATATCTCTCTATATATATATGAATCTATACATATATATATATATATATATATATATGTATATATATATATATATATATATCAGGTCAGGGACCTCACAAGGGACAGGTGAGCGAAAATCGGGAATTGATTCGGTTTTCAGTGTAGCAATATATCTCTATATATACATGTATGTATCTATATCCTTATATATATATATGTATATATGTAGATATCAGGTCGGCGACCTCACAAGGGACAGGTGAGCGAAAATCGAAAATTGATTCGGTGTTCAGTGTAGAAACTAGATATTGATTCGGGGTTCGCCATGCGCAGTGACGACTGCAAGTTGCGAAGGGGATCGAGCAGCTTCATACGAACGTTATTGTGGCTATGGCGAAATGTAATCGAGCTGCGGAACGCGTATCGGCTATGGCGGACGGAGGTGGAGGGTGGAGAAAAGAGATCAGAGCACGTCCACTGATGAAACAACAAAACCGGGAATTCATTCGGGGTTCAACAGAACGCGGCTGCGGCGTTACATCCTGCAGGTATAGACAGGGCATCTGGGAATGTGTTCGGACATCCGACACAAAATAGGACAACTCAAGTTATATGATTTTACCTTCGTCGTGCGTTGATCGAGCAACCAACCACCGAACCAGCTATGGTGGAGGGATATCGAGCTAGGAAGAGCGAAGACCGAGGAGCGAAGAGCGAACTGAACACAATGTGGCAACTGTGGATGGAGCGAAGAGCGAAGAGTGAGCGGGCTATGGCGGATGGTGGTGGGGGCTGAAGACCAAATATCAGAACGTGCGCGAAGGCGATAGCGCGACTTAATCTGTGGAGCGCCAACAAAAGGGATAACTCGAGTGCTGAAACGACTTTTATACTTTGTTGCAGCAGGCCTCGCGTCGGGATCAAGGTGGGGCCAAATCGATTTGCATATCGCACCCCTGGGCCCATAAAACGCCATCAAGGTGGGGCCGAATCGATTCACGTATCGCGCCCCTGGGCCCATAAAATGCCAGGGCCTATATACGGTAAGGTTTACCGGAAATTGTTAGCCGTCGATCAACAATTTTCAACCTCGCAGATGAACGGAGCCACTGTTATGCTAGTGGCCCCAAAATCTCCGTCAACTCCAGCGTGCAATGATGTGACAGTTCCCGAAAACAAGGGGCAGGCAATGTCATTTTCGCAGTAGTAATTTGGACCGTCGATCGGCATGATCCGACGCACGAGGTCAGGCGCAAGAATCTATAAGGTGCGGTGATTCGTTGTGCGCCGAGGCAGTTCGTTGCGCGCTGAGGCCAGGCGACAGTTTATTTCCCGCCGAGGCGCGGCGATTCGTTGTGCACCGAGGTAAAAAACACCGGAAATCTATAAGTTCCGGTGTCGCTGTCATTCGTACAATTTGCAAATGTCAATGGCGTTCGATATCGATGCGCTTAGCCATGCACCATCCTTATCGATGCGCTTAGCTCATCGCCATCGCCAACGCTCGCCATGCACCATCGCCATCGATGCGCTTAGCTCATCACCATTGCGCACAAAGCTATATCCCCTATCGCAGCCGTTGCGCTCGCCTGACCATCGCAGCGCCGACAATCGCCATCGCTCTCATCGCAGCGCTGGCCATCGCTGCGCCATCACAACGGTGGTACCATAACTGCCATCGCAACGTTGGTTCCATCACTACGCCATCTCTCAATCGGTGCGCCATCGCTATCGCTGCCATCGCTATCACTATCGTTGCCTTCGCTATCGTTGTTCCATCGCTGCGCCATCGCTCTCCACCGGTACACCATCGCTGCGCAATCGCTATCGTTGTTTCATCGCTACCATTGCTATCGCTATCGCTGCATTGTAACTCATTCCATCGCCTCGCCATCGCTCTCCACCGGTGCGCCATCGCTCTACACCGCAGCGCCGACCATTGCTATCGAAGCCCTGGCCAGTGTTATCCCACCGCAGCGCTGCGCGATTTCTCTTTCCATCGCCGCACGATCTCCCTCCATCGTTGAGTGATCACTCTCCATCTCATTCCATCACTGCGCGATCTCTCTCGACAACCGGGCAACCTCCATCCTTGCCCCAGAGGCTCTCCATTACTCGTGCGTGATCCCGCCATCGCCATTGTATTGTTGTTTCAGGCCGTCGTCGGTGCAGCCGCCCATCACCGTGGAATCGCACGAAACAGGTGACAGGTATGCTTAGCGAAGGTTTAACTCGATGGAACTGATGTTGTGCAATAACAAATCTTGGTCATCGTTGTGCCTTCTCTCTCCATCGCTGCGGCATCGCTAACCATGGTTGCGCGTCCTCTCTCCATCTCTCTCCACCCATGCGTGATCTCTACCGACCTTTCATCATCTATCCCCATCGGTGCGGTATCTTTCCAAATCTATCTCCTTCGGTGCGCTATCTTTCCTAATCTATCTCCTTCGTCATCTATCTCCATCGCTGCGCTATCTTTCCTAATCTATCTCCATCGTCATCTATCTGCTTCGGTGCGCCATCTTTCTCCATTGCTGTGCTATCTCTAACCATCGTTGCGCCTGCTATCTCTATTGCTGCGCCATGTTTCTCCATCGGTGCGCAATCTCTCTCTCTCGTTGCGGCACACCTCCCGATCAGTTCCCGATGTCGTTCCCTTCCTGCGCCATCCACCTTCTTCCCTGGAATATACGACGCACTTTCATTATAGTTGTCTTTAGACTGAAAGATGACCCAAATTCAGCTGTAATGACCGGACGTTGTATTCGAGGGCAGACTGTGACTCAATCCATCTCTCTTGGTGCGCAATCTCTCTCATTCGGTGCGCCATCTCTCTCCATGTATTTTCATCGATGCGTCGTCTGCCCATCGCTTCGCAATCTTTCTCCATCTTAAAAAATAGCATGACATCCTTCCCTATTTCTCTCTTGCGACGATCTGTGGCTCGTACTACACGCAGAACAAGCCCGAAACAACTTGCACTTGTACCCGCAGTTTCGTAATGGAAATGATCGTTTACAAATGCGAATTCATTCGCTCTTGAACCAACCAACCCCTTAATTTGTCACTATTTAGTCCATAGGTCAGAATGAACTCGCACTTGTACCCCAATTTCGTAATGAAAATGCTCGTTTGCAAGTGCGAATTTATTCGCTCTTCAATCAACCATCCCCCTAAATTTCTTACTCTATAGTCCAAAAGTCCCAGTTTCATAGTGGAAATGTTCGTATGCAAGTGCAAATTTATTCGCTCTTCAACCAACCATCCCCCCAAATTTGTGACTCTGTAGTTCACAAGCCCTAGTTTCATAATGGAAATGCTCGTTTGCAAGTGCGAATTTATCCGCTCTTCAACCATCCATCCCCCTAAATTTGTTCCTCTTTAGTCGATAATTCGCGTCTCTTTTCGGCCCAAAAGA